GCCTGATGCTGCTCTTGGTGGAGGCCGGCGAGCGATTGTATCACTTCCGCAAACGGCGAACTTGGCGGTGACTGCATGGCAGCGGCCGGACTTCTTCCCTCCCGGGTTTCGGCACCAGTGTAACGAGGTTCGTAATAAGGAAGGAAGAAGTCGGAGTCAGCGTGACTGAGGCTCGGGGTAATTTATTGTGGTTCCCTTGGGAACAGTAAAACAGGCAGGCGCTCAGGCGCATCAAAATAAACAAAACTTATATCGCACTTCTTTGGTTCTCTAGCCACAGGTCACAGTCTTTCCCCACGAGTCCTCAGTCTGTCTCGTCTCTCTCTCTCTGCTTCCCCTGAGGCTATTTACAGCCTCTCCAGGCCAATCACTGAAACGAGAAGCAGGTGAATGTCATTTTGCACTTGACCTACTTACTCACCGCTCGTCTCCGACCGCTCTCTCCCGCTGCAGACTCCGCTAAACCACGCCCCCCTCACCACAATATCATATCATGATTTTTTTCCGGAAATTCTAAATGGACTGTATTAGCACAATCAGATGCTAAAGATAACTCACAGTAATCAGGCGCTGTTTGACAGGCTTTTTAGTGTGCGCGTGCTTCAGGTGTACGCGCTCAGAAAAAGTGCATGTCAGAACAGCATGCAAATGAAATGTTTAACAGGAAAGGCTTTAAAGCACATGCAAATAATGTACTTTTGTGATTGCGAATAAGTGCAGCGTCCCGTGAGTGTAACTCTACCGCTGAGTTAACATTTAATGTGAATGTACGTCGCGTTGTACAGTACATTGAGACGGAGGCGCCACAACTGCAACTGATAGAATGTGAGCTGTAGCACGATACTACGATATTTCTTCAAAAGCAGACTGTGGAGACATTTTAATCGTCCACGATCAAAAATCGTGATATCGCACACCTTTAAATGTTCCCCTAATTTTTTTTTTGCCAAGCAAAATCTTTCTCTATAGACCAGACATTCCAGCCACCTGAGAAAAAACATCTCTTGTAATAATAATAATAATAACCAATAAATTCTTTAAAAACAAATAAATCTTTAATATTGTGTAATATACCTTAATATAAAACCACTGAATTATTATTTTGTGCAAAGTTGATTGCTTCGCTGAATGTGGATTGCCATCTTCCAGTAACGATAAATGACAACCTCCCCTGTCTTTTCTGTTGAAATCCTAACACGCCCCTCCAGACAACATCTGAGTTCTTGTGGGACAGCCTTTGTCTCTCCAGCACCTATAATTGGCCAATCTATCGTGTAATCCCATCACAACTCAGAGAGATGGCAGATTCCAACGCTTCACACATGGGTCCAGCTTTAGTGGAGTATCTGCAGGGGCTTATGGTATGGATATAATAAAATCATTCAATGCTGCTCTGCCAAAACCCCACTGATTTGAGTGGCAGCATGTGTCAGGCGTAACACAGAGCGAATATGTCTGAAAGAGTGAAGGTTTCATAGACTAACACACATCATGTCTTCTGTCGCACACTCTGCTCAGAGGCATGAAGGCCCAGTGCTTCCTGCTGAGAGACTGAATGAATCATGTCACCTCATTAAATATTAAAGCTATACATCTATCAATATAGAGGATTCGCAATCCATCTCAGCCTACGGTAACTGAAACATTTTCTGTTGTTGTTGTTGACAAGCATTAGCAGAATAGGGAAGCAAGTAAAAAGAGAGAGAAAGTGAAATATTTATTTAGCATGATGTGTCGCAGTATTCAGAGATGTGCTATGGAGACTTGATGCTGGATACGTAGGTCAGAGCGCCCTTCTGAATAATTTTATATAAATGTGTATGTAACCCTTGATATTTCTATCCTGTTTCACTTCTTAGTCTCACTTCTTTAAAACTTAGTACTGCCCCTTTAAGAGGTTGGGTAGTTTATGCGGGGAGAGAGTGCACAGCAATAGCGCGCAGAGTGAATGTGCATGAAGCACGGACAAAACGCATAGCG